AAAAAAAAAAAAAAAAGGCTCTTGGTTTTAAAATGGTTTAAGGCAAAATAATGACAGTGGAACTTACCTTTCTCTGTTCATCATCTTTGCAGTTTTGAAGTTTGTCATCAAAAAGCTACAGGATTAAAAAGAAAATGATTATAGTATCAAGCCATTTTGCTATATTGTATACATTTACTAAACACAGAAAAGCAAACTTTAGTTCTTAAATAAATTTCTTCCAGGGATGATTTATATGTATTTTTAAGATAACATATATTTTTTCAAGGGACAGTATCAAGTCCAATTCTACTGAATTATTTTAAACAGTCAAGATCAATTACTCTGGTAAAATTGCAAGCAAAAGGAAACAGATGACTTTTAAGAACTTAAAATATCAATTGAAACCTAAATTTTTTCTGCTTTGTCATCCACGTTTATTAATACTCCATTTGCTGCTTCCCAGGACTTTTGCTTGTAATTAATTTTAAAGTAGGAATTGAAGGAGACAATTTCAGTAATGATAAATGAAGTAGAGAAATCACCTCTCCCAACAACCCCCTCCCCAAAATGGAAAAAATCAAGGCCTCAGAAATTGAACCACATGAAAATTTACCAGTTTCTCAGAATTTTAAAACAGAATATGAATCTAATCTTATTTTCTTCTAGTTATGTCTAGATATTACTTTTTTTTTAAAAAAAGATTTTATTTATTTGACAGAGAGAGTGAGAGAGCACAAGCAGGATGGAACAGTAGAGGGAGAGGGAGAAGCAGGCTCCCTGCCAAGCAGGAAGACTGATGCGGGGCTGGACCAAAGGCAGACGCTTAACCATGTGAGCCACCCAGGCGCCCCTAGATATTTACTTTTTTAATGACCAAAACGTACATTATATATACACACTATCAATATAATCAAAGGCAAAGATCTCTGAGTAAGTCACCCAGATCTTTAAAAAGTCAGCTTTAAAAATTGCTGAAGAACCATTTAAGGGTTGCAAATTAACATCAGCTAAGTTTTTACACTCAAAATCAAGCTTGGTAACATTTACTACTTTATACCAATTCAGTAAATGAATGCCGTACCTTTAATTGTTCTATCAAGATTTGTAGGTAAGCATCAGCCTCTGTAAGTTTCTTATCGAAGTCTTGGACACTAGGAACAAATCCTGAATCCAAACCCTAGAGAAAAAGAAAATTTGTAATAAATCTACCAATACCCAGGCAATATTTAACAGTACAGAAGATACTTCATCCTTCATACATGACATTTCAATTTTAAAGTAAATATAGTACTTTTATATAAATAATAGGCATATTAAAACTATCTAAATTCTTCAAGAATAGTGATACATCAATCTCCCTCATGAACTTCTACCTCTGTTCCTTTATCAAACATGCACTGCTGCTTAAATCAGGATTGACCTTGCTCTTCAATCACTTTCTTCTCTCCCCCACAATGACTCCCCGTGACCTCCAGAGCAACAGTAATTTAGCTGAAGGGCCTACATTACAACCTAGATTACCTCCTATTTTACCCCCACTTTTTGTTTGATTCCTCCAGTCCTTTAATCTTAACTTCATACTCTGTTTAGTCCTCCTCCCATTCCCTAACCCACCCCATTACCTCTGCTGCTTTCTCCTCCTCCCTTTATTAAAAGAAGTAAGAACCTCAAAATTCTCACCTCTTCTAAGAGGGCCCTCTCTTTAACTGAAAGTGACAACACTTGTCTTAATCAAGTTCGCTACTCACATTCACCTTCGGCATGAACACTAACTACACTCTGGACATGGTGTAAATGTTTATTTATTTAGAGGGTCCACTTATTTCTAGTTTAACAATCCAGCATTTTCATGTCCTACTTTTTGTACACTAAAAATTTTAAACTTCAATAGAATGGGATTCCCATGTTTTAACTTTACTCAAAAGAACTTGACTTCTTAATCATATCTGAAAAACACATCAATCCTGGGTGTAAAAGACAAAAAGTTGGAGACTGAACAAGACTACCAGCTTGCCGTATTTGCACGCCCAAATGTCATGCAGTTAAACAGGGAAATAAAGTAAGGCTCATGAACCACTAACATCACAATCCCAACCCAACCACAAAATTCTGTACTGAATGGGTAAAATACAGTAGTTCAACATACCATACCTGATCTTCACTTGTTGGCCCAAACATGCTGATCATTTTCACATTCCCCATTTTAGTAAATGGAAGCCAGAGTTCATTGTATGTTACACCAATACCTCATCTTTGCACAATATTTTATTATTAATAAAGCACTTTTACAGCCACTATCTCAAACACCAGATTGAGACCGTATAGTATTATGGAAAACAACAACGGGTTGACAAGCCTGGTTTCTAATTGCAGCTCAGCCACTAACAAGATACTGTGTCTAAGCTGCTGTTTTCTTACCTGCCAAATATAGTCATCCTCCTCATACTATTATTAATGTGGCAGCTAGTACCTCTACTAAAGACTACAATTACTAACACTATCAATTACTACTACTATTATTCATTGTTGCTCTTGCCAAACTTAAATTCAAATTCTGAATCAGAACAGAAAAAAAAAAAAAAACCCCACCCTAAGTTATATTAGACCATGGGAAAATCAACTTATCTTGTAATGCATTTTCCTTTTCAAATTCAAAAGCAATAAAACGGCCTGCTTTTTTTTCACATACATGTAAAGAAACTACTTGAAATGAGTATTGAAAAATCCCTTCCCAATGAGATGTTATGATAAAAACAAAGTTGAAGAAAAATCATTAACAATATATGTAATAAAACTGTGGTTAAACATCTTCATGTTTAAAGCTAACCCAAAAAAACTTTCTATTAACATTTACTACACAGAGTATGATAATAAAAGATGTGGAAAAGGAAGAATAAATCCATTACATTTTGGAGATACTATAGTACTGTATTACAAAAGAAGGGAGTGATTTCCTTCCATGTTACTGTACCACAGAAAAAAATCAGAACAGCTTGGCTTAGTTTTTGTTTTGTTTCAAATAGCAATATAACATAGTTATTAATAATTCAACTATAAGATCCAGTTAAAATCCATAAAATATTGTGCTTGCTAAATATCAAAAAGTTCAATGGCATATTAATAAATGAATAAGAGGTGAAGCATCTAAATAACAAAAAGTGATTTTTAAGAATTTTCCCTTTTGAGGGCGCCTGGGTGGCTCAGATGGTTAAGCGTCTGCCTTCAGCTCAGGTCATGATCCCAGGGTCCTGGGATTGAGTCCCGCATTGGGCTCTCTGCTCCTTGGGAGCCTGCTTCTCCCTCTGCCTCTCTCTCTCTCTGTCTCTCATGAATAAATAAATAAAAATCTTTAAAAAAAAAAAAAAAGAATTTTCCCTTTTGAATCCACTTAGAACTACCGCTGTAAAAATCTAACATATCCTTTTGAACAAATCTTTGATTAAAAATCCTCCAGTAAATAAACGGAAACATTTAAATTACCGAGATCTAAAACCCATCTAAATTAATGCTTAAAAAACAACCCTTTGATGTTGCTATAATCCTAGAACCTCACCCTGGCTCTCTTCTCAGATCTACCTCTAGATAGTCTTCCACAACGTTCCTTTAACATTAGAATAAACTCCACACATCATAACATCCAAGTTGAAGATCTACTCACCAAATCATTTTTATGTAATGTATAAGAGGCGGTTTATAACTAGAGTTATTAGCGTAAAATCCCAGAACTGGCCTAAACTCCCTTGTACAGTAATCCATACATCTTTGGTGTACTTAAAAAGAAAATCTACATATATAGCTGCCCCAACTGCAATCAATAAAATAATATGCACATATTTATCAATAACATGGACAACTGAGAGTAATTAAACTGTTTCCTCAACTCTTGTAAGAATAATGCACACAAGAAGAAAATAAAAGTTTTTGCTACATATTATGACTTACAGTACACAGAAACAAAGCCATCTAGTCCAACCTCCCCCTCAAAGAAGTTACTTTTACAATGTTTTTGAAAGTCTTCTGGTCTTCACTTGAGTATCTCAACAGACAAGAGACTCATTACCTCCTAATATATACTATTTCATAAAAATTCCCTTGCAGTCATAACTGTTCCTCTTTCTATTTAACATTTACAATATAAAACCCTACACTTACTCATGTCCTTTTTAATGGAGTTTTGCTTTAAAACAAATCATCAGAATATAGTCCTTTATACCATTTTGAGAGTGGGCTTTCTTTGAGAAGAACTCGGAACAGAACAGATCCTTTAAGACAGGGTGTGATTTCATACTTCTAACAGGGACATCTTGTAGAAGAAGCAGTTTGGGAGTTAAACAGATACACATTCTCTGTGCCACTCATTCAACACTATAACCCCCAGGGCTAGTTTAGCCTTGAATAAATGTATGTGGCACTGATTGCTGTGTCTGACAAGTGCTGATGCGGTGATCCTGATCCGGTCTTCCCCATGACCCTCCCCTAGCCTAGACTTCTCTAGCCTTTCTGTTTTCTTCCTCCTTCCCTTTGTCTACTCCCTCACTCCCTTCTTCCTGTCTTTCTTTCCTTCTTTTTTGTCCATGTCCTTTGTGGACACTTTGTGACCGAAGTGGTTATGCTGCCCTTTTGGCAGTCAGAACCAAAGAGGTTGCTGCTCCTTAATTTACTATATTGATGAGCCATAGTTCTCACTTGATGACTTCTGTGTGAATTCATTTAAAGTTTAAGTTAAACACAACTACTACAGAGAAATAAAGGCAAATGGTTTGCCTTTATTATGCTTAAAAGAAGTTAAACTAAAACAGAAATTAAACCCAATCTATAAATTAGATAAATCCATAAAATTAGAAATCTATGTAAAGAAAAAAAAACCATTTATGTGGTAAATATACTAAAAACAAAACAGTCTCTAGTCTTCAAAAATATTTGCTAATAAAGAAAGCTAAAGTACATTTTAAAGTCAAAGAGAGTAGCACGATTCTACATCAGCCAGGACCTATGTATCCAGTTTAAAATATATAAAGAGAGAAACATCTGACCCAACTTCAAAAATAGTATCTAGACTGGCAGAAGAATATCAAACTGCCTCAATGCTGTATATAAGTACCTCCTAGTATCTTTCTAAAACTTATATTGAATAGCATCACTTCTCAGAAGGTACTTCAAAGCTAACAAATGTCAGCAAAATTAAATGAATTCCTATTAATGACTTTAGTTGGGACATTAAACACTATTTATACATACATATAACCAAATGCTTCACCTCTATTTAAAAAAAAAAAAAGTATTGCAAGGATGTCCTTAAAACTGTCTGAAAAACATATGAACTGTAGCTGCTTTGTAGAGGTACTTTTTTATACAACAGTACAGGAGGCAATTTTTGAGGCAGGGAATAAGAGCTTTTAAGTAATTCCTGGTGACAGAGGAAGAGTAATGAACAGTGGAGGTTAAGGTGGTAAAAGGTGGTTTAAGGTCTTGTTGAGGTCAGAATCAGGAAATAAAGTCATGAGTAATTTGAGGAACTGAGGAGAATAACAGAACAGGAAGGGCTATGGCTGAATAACAACACTGTAAAAAGAAATTAACAAATGAGTAATTATTTTCCTACCAAATCTTATTTTACAACAAAAATGTAAAGGACTAAGTACCCTATATTCAGTGTTTTCTTACATAGGAAAAAACAGTATATAATAAAAATATGTTGCAAAAGGAGAAAAGGAAATAGAGAAATTAGTTCATGTAATTCTCACAGAGAAGTTCAGAACAACAAGAACGCAGAATAAGTTATCAGTAGAACCATAAAGGGGAATAACAGCTTAAAAATTTAACAAAGGAAAAACACCAAAAAAAAAAAAAAAAAACCAAACCGAAAAAACAAGCCTCCTAATGAAAAATAAACAACATGAATCCAGACAAAAGTAGGTGATTTTTAAAAATTAGCAAAACACATACCCTATAATTAAAATAATGAAAACTTTGCAGAAATGTCGTTTTGATTTAAATACAAGAGTATCTGGAAAGTTTATGTTCACAATTAGCAATTTGAGATGACATGCATCACAGATATGCTTTCATCCAATGAAAGAAGTATAGAGCATACTTACAATTGAATCACTTACAATTATTTTTGAAAATTCAAGAACTGGAGAGATACCAGAAGACTGGAAAAAAGCAAGTGTGGTACTGATCTTCCATAAAAGTAAGGAAAAGAGAGAATAGAAAGTTACTTTACCATGCTGTGAGTCTGACATCAATAATTAAGTAAAGGAATAATAAGAGAAAAATCTGTAACTATTCAGAGGAAAAGTAGGTACATGAGCAGCAAATGACAAGTTAAAAAAAAAAAAACACATTATGCCAAACTTAATGGCTTTTGTTCCTTCGAAATTTGTTAGCAAATTAAGTTTTTTGAGAAATGATACCATTTGTCTTCTTACCAAATGACTTATAAGTTGGTTTAATGATGAAAAAAGTATATTAAAGAAACCAGAAATATTAATGAGATGACGATTTTATGTGGAGTATACTAATATGTTATTTCCTGGAATTACTAAAAATTTGGAAACATTTATAATTTATAATCCCTATTGTCTCTGTGGTTTAACCACTTCAGCTAAAGGAAGAACTGATTTAGAGATATAGGGAATTTCTCAGGGCAAGACTTTCTAGTTTTAATCCTAAGGAATACTCAACTATCAATTCATTTGGAGTGAAGATTATAAATTTGAAACCGTCAACAAAATTGAGCCCATTACTACATGCTTTCCTTCACTGTAACTTCAGGCTATTTTCCATTTAAGTCAATGTTCTGATAATCTAAGGCTCCAAATCAGGTTCTCTTTTATCAACATGGTAGCTACAGTTATTTTACCAGCACGCTAGGTACCCCAAGAATATCCTAAAAGGTAAGGTCTTTTTCTGTAGTTCTCTAAGTGAACAGTTCTAACACCATGGATTCACCATGGATGCACATTATATATTAAAAATTTTTTTCAGAGTATTAGATCCTCTGCTAGACACTTAATAGGTTTTCTCATTTGATTATCACAAGACAGTAAGGTACAGAGACATTAACCCTATTTTATAAGCATTTACCCAAATCATGAAGTGGGGGTTTTCTTTAATTGGGATTTCAACCTATTGCTCTGACTTCAATCCGTTACACTTTTCTCTTAAATCACAATATTGGAAAAGAATTCATGGCATAAGAACACTAAAATGTAATCTAGAAACGGCCTGAAGGAGGCTTGATGTAGTTAAAATGAGCACAGCTTTAAGGTCAGACTGATTTAGTTTTAAATCCTGAATCTGCAACTTCCTAACCCATATGATCTGGCCAAGCTACTTACTCCACCGCCATTTTCTCATCTAGGGATGGGCATAATAACAAACCATTCAAAGTTGTTGGATAGATGAAAGAATATGCGTAAAGTGACACAAGAGTAAGTTTTCTACTTCCTCTTCATAATTTGGAATCATATAAATAACCAGAATTCACTACTGCATCTCCAGGCCCTAAAGTAGTGCCTAACATAAAGAGAGCACTCAATGACCGATGTTTTAAAACCAAAACTGATAAACCAGATAATACCATAAAACAATTTTAATAGAGATCCATAATCAGTAAAAGGATACAAGCATAAGTTAAACTGTATAACGTTCCTTTAAAAAAGGAAAACAGTAACTTGATAAACTCTGAAGATAAATAGTAATAAAAAAAGGATGAGCAATACACAACTCATAAAATAATAGTTCTAGAAAACAGATCAGAAAAAAATTCCATATAAGATTTTCAGAAAAGGATTGGGTATTATGCCTGAATTACAAAAGGTAAATTGTACTGAATTATTACCTTGGTAACAAAGGGTCAACAATATAAAGCCTTTTTCCACCATAAAATAAACTGATTTTTGGAAGTACATCAGCTCTTCAAAAAACAGAATCACTTTTATCTTTAAATTTTAAAAAAAATGGTTTATGCATAGTATTAAGTTTCTGTTTAAAAGCATACATATACCACAAATCTGAATTGCTCATATAGTTGGGAAAGAGAGTTACTTTGTTAAACAGGAATCAGGTACAGACATCCGTGTCAAAACTGATGAACTTAATCATAACTCAGCACAACTGCTTATTCTTCATGATCTCTTCATCTAATACTGACACTATTATGTAACCTTTTGGCTTACAGAAAAAAATACTAATATTGATTTCATAAAGCTATTTGGTTACTCAAACAACTTCACAAAAAAGGTTTGGGATTTGCACCATGTTCCTCTATTTTTAAATCACTGATAGCTTGTCTTTCCAAAAGACTCAAAAAAAAAAAAAAAGACTCAATTTACTCAATAAAGTCATATAAAAAGTCTTGTCAAAATCTAAATAAAACAAAAACCTGAAGTTTATGAATAGGATAACCATATGCCCTAGTTTGTCTGGGGTCATCAATCTTTATGCCTATTGTCTCAAAAAATTAGCAGCCTCCCTCCCTCTGAAAAGTGCTCCAGTTTGGACAATAAATTACATGGCTCCTTCTCCATAAAGGATGTAACTAGCCTTTTAGAGATAAAAATGTCTAGAAGGCACGTACGATTGCCTCTGAAGTGTCAGAATGCAGGAAATAAAAAATTATTTTAAATGAAACATAAGTTTACAGGCTCTGAATGTAGAAATCCAATTACAGAAATAAAGCTCCACCAGAATTCAATGAATATTAACTGGGTGCTTACATTATGCTAGGTAAATGGACACATGAATAATATAGAAGCTACATTTTTAAAGTTATTTTATTTATATACACAACCTCCTCAAATAAAACGCAAGCAGCAAAACACATGAAACACATCATATATTAATACTGGGGACTGGGATTGAGACAGGGACTCATAATTTTTACTTTATACATTCACTTGTCTGATTTTTAAAAGTATACATTTATTTTAATTCAAAAGCTTATGTAAAAATATTTGGAAACTGTGCAAGTTTATAAATATTTTTCAAAAGTTTTATAAATTTTAGCTTGCAAAATCAATCAGCTTTACTCTCTTAAAATTATCTACAAAAAACCTATAATGTCTTGAGAGTAAATCTGGCAATACAGCTGCTCAGGTACACGTTTCCAAGCAAAATGTAGCATAACAAATTTGTAACATCATTTACAGACAAAAAGCACAAACTTGAAAAAAAAAAAAAAAGGCACTAAAAAATTAGCAATCTACACTACACTGGAATAAACGCCAAGAAGAAAAATAGCCAGTAAAACGAAGAATACCTAATTTTTTTTCTACATCCTTCCTGCCAATAACATAATAATGACTCAACATTCAAGAAAGCAAACTCATAAAAAACAAAAACACCTACTACATCACTCCCTCTAACAAAGCACTGTTTGACCATGTGGTGCTGGCCATTAGCCAAAGCTTTTCTTTTCACCCAGTAGTTGGTCAGGCTACTGTACATATATTTCTTAAAAGTCATAGGTTAACTCATTCCAAGATCTATATAAGCTCTGAGTGGCTTACTAGTATGGGATGGAAAAAAATACATTCTTCCTCTCTCCAACTCCAGATTACTACCTATCATTCAGTTTAACAGCATTCTGGAAAGCAAAGCAGACTCACTACTATTAAGGGTCCACCAAAAAGCAAAGTTTTAGATAAATACTGGAGATTTGCTCCAAGCATAACTAGGAGAAACTCATATTCAAACATATGAATCCTTAAACTAAGTATTTTAGTAGGTCAAGTTTTGAAATAACTGCAGAATTCTCTTACATAGCATAAAAGCTGTTAAAATTTTGATCATGAAATTTTTAAAAAACAAAACTTGATATATTCCTCTGACAAACCTGGATCTCTCTGTATAGCAAAACATAACACACCGAAAATTAAACAACACCCAAGGGGAGCTAAATGATGAACTAGTCAGACCAACAGATAGTACTAAAAGGCTTAGACCTCACACAAACCAACCAAAGTAGAACAAAAACAATGCTGAATTGAAAAGAATAGATACTGTAATTGGTTTGACATTTATCCCTTCAAAATTATATATGCCAAAAACAGTTTTTGTATATCTGATTTTAGCTGTCAGTGAACATTACACAGAAGGAACAGGTTCAGTTTTTGCTAAAGTTGTTAAAAGTGTAATATAGGGGCACCTGTGTGGCTCAGTCAGTTGAGCATTGGACTCTTGATTTCAGCTCAGGTCATGATCTCGGGGTTGTGAGATAAAGTCTGGCTCTGCGCTGGGCGTAAAGCCTGCTTAAGGTTCTCTCTTCCTCTCCCTCCCCCCAAAAGTGTAATATAAAATTACCCTAATTTAGTTTAATTGTGGTCACTAATCTATCAAGATGATTTAAAGCAAGACTAGAATATATCAGGACAGGACTTAGTGTTGTTCTCAACTGTATCCCCAAGGCCAGTGCTTGGTTTGTAACAAGTGCTCAATGAAAATTTTGTAAATGAATGAATGAAGGAATTCTGAAATGTGCCTACCTGCTAGCACTTAAGCAATAAGTATTCAAAGAAATTATAGTTAAGTATATTCATGAAAAAAGCATAAATAACTCATTTACTCTAAAGGATTTATTATATTACAAGTATGGATGCTGACTTTTTTATGGCCAACCAGAAGTTTTTAAGTAGAAAAAGAAATTAAATAAAAGGTAAGACACTGTATTGTGCAGGCAGTACAAGAAGCAAGACCAGGCAATGACAATTGACTTGTCCCTCTAAAAACTCATTCTTCTCATGCCAAATCCTCTCACGAGCAGTTTTACACATGCAGGTATCACCTGAACTTTCAAAAGTCTGAGTTACCACTTTGCTTTTACAAAAGACCTTTATCAGTACCTGTTTTCACTAACCAAAAGAAATCTGAAGAGGATATCTGCTTTTATGAAAAAAAGGCAAAAAGCAAAAACAGCATTCAGCATTTGTTTTGCTGCGAGCTGTTACAGAGGCAGTGAATACCCTAAGCAAGAGTGGCACTGCCAAGCTCTTTCTCTGGGAACTACACTCAGCATCTCAGCCATAAGCTGCCACAGCTGTGAACTTTGTGAGCATTTGTGCTTTATCTCAATTTTTTGTGTATCCATTAGCAAGACATGTCCTAAGGTGTTAGAAAAGCCCAAGAGGTTATTTTTAGGGCCTAGGACTGCTCAAAAATCTTTCCATATAAATTAATG